TTTTTCATATACACAATACAAACAAATCAAAATTGAAGAGGGAGACTAGTAGTTCTTAGTGTACTTAAACACCAAACTAATTCAGGCTATCAATTCTAAACTATTAGATCACTCCATATGGTAGTTTGTTCTTAGGCCTAATGTGCACAACGGATGGAGTGCACTAGGCCTGAGATGAAATGTGAAATAGCAGCAGCTGTGAAACTTACAAGAATGTCAATTTCACAATTGTTAGGCTCCCTGTTGAGAAACTGAACCATATCTTCATATGGAGGTGGAGGTGAGGGGGTTCCTGCTGTAAGCCCCGGGCAACTATCAATGCCTCAACAATGCTCGAGTTCAGTCAGCACAAGCACTCCTGCTGAGGATGTGCTCAGTAGAAGCAGAGTAGTGTGGATTCCAACAGCCAATTTAAATCACTGTGGCAGATGTAGGTCGATCTAACTTAGGTGGATCTCATTTTGTAGTACAGGAAGTCCCCGGGTTATGTACAAGATAAGGACTGTAGGTTTGTTCTTAAGTTGAATCTGTATGTAAGTCGGAACTGGCGTCCAGATTCAGCCGCTGCTGAAACTGACCAGCGGCTGACTACAGGAAGCCCGAGACAGAGTTGCTCTGCCCGGGGCTTCCTGGAATCAGCCGCTGATCAGTTTCAGCAGCGGCTGACTTGGGGACGCCTTGGGCAGAGCAGCTGGGGGGCTGCCACGGGACCAACCAGCAGCACCCCAGCTGCTCTGCCCCAGGCGTCCTGATTCAGCCACTGCTGGTCAGTTTCAGCAGCGGCTGACTTGGGGACGCCTTGGGCAGAGCAGCTGGGGGGCTGCCACGGGACCAACCAGCAGCACCCCAGCTGCTCTGCCCCAGGCGTCCTGATTCAGCCACTGCTGGTCAGTTTCAGCAGCGGCTGACTTGGGGACGCCTTGGGCAGAGCAGCTGGGGGGCTGCCACGGGACCAACCAGCAGCACCCCAGCTGCTCTGCCCCAGGCGTCCGGAGCAAAGCCGCGGAGCACGGGGGCAGCGGGACAGCCCAGACGCGCCGTGGCTGTCCTGCTGCCCTCGGGCTCCGCAGCTTTGCTTTGCTCCCCGTCTCCCTGGTCTGCAGATCAGGGGGACGGGGAGCAAAGCGGCAGAACACACGACTGGGCTGTCCGCTGCCCGCGTGCTCCGCCGCTTTGTTTCCTCTCCCATGTCTACTGGAGACCAAGGAGACGGCCCCGTTCGTAACTGCGGATCCGACATAAGTCGGATCCGCGTAACTCGGGGACTGCCTGTATAGACAAGCCTTATACTGATTCTTCAAGTCAACAGGAGTTCTGTGCAGAACAAGGGTCAGATCCTTTATGGTACAGACTAGGCATTGAACAAGCACAAAGAAGGAAAAAGGTGAACAACCATTACAAAAGCCTAAGTCAGTGTACCTCAAAGTGGGCTGTGGACCACTTTGTGAAAGCTGCTAACAGGCTGCTCCAGCTTGTTTACTTACCGGCTCTGCAGCCCCGGAGCCTCATGGCTCCCATTGACCACAGTTTGCCGTTTGCACCCAAGGGGAACTCGTGGCCCACTCTGAAAAACACTGGCCTAGGTGAATAAAGAATTGCTATACGGATGTGGTATTTAGCAGGACAGTAGCTAAGCAATTAAAGGAAATTTTTCTTGGGATTTAATATATGGATGCAAATCATTCAAGACCAAAATGCAGGTTGTTAGGAGGGCTTTTAAAAATCAAACGTTTGTTGTTTTAAGTGCTTTGTATTGAAGTATTCAAACAATATTTTTAAAAAGTCTGTGGTGCAAAATAAGAACTATTGCCACTCTGCCATATAAACCCCAAAGTAATTTACTTAGGTAAGAAATTTTCAGTACATATGACATCTTCAAAAAGTTTTATTTTTAAAAAAGCATGAAGGCTATAAGCCAAACCCACCAACAGAGATACCATCCGTCTTAAAAAATATGTTTGACAGATGGTCAAGTAAACACCATCCCTTAATGGACAGATGTCACTGGCCCTCATTCTCTCAATCTATCTCCATTACCCACCGTCTTCTCTGGATTAAGTTTCAGAGTGCTAAATTTTCACTGAAGATCCACTCTGAGCTAGACATTAGGAAAGTCAGTTAATCATACCAGGTGGGTCTGATGAAAGAGATACAGAACTAAGGTTCACCAGCATGCTGATGACATACATTCCAATCCATTCTATCACCTTGATGAATTTAGAAGTGCATTTACAAGATGAATGACAGACAAGAATATTGCAGCATATGGCCTGAAAGATGTATTTTATTAGTTTATTTCAAATTGCACAAAAATATAAAATTATCAATCACTAACCACTCTCAGCAAGGTGGGGATGGCCAGACTGAAAGAGAAAAATAAAGCTACTGCAATCTAACTACACAGTGAATTATCTATGCTCTATATAGCTTCTGTATAGCAGTGTTCAACAAGTTGCTAATCAATAGTCTCTACAAAATTTTAATAGCCAACAACCAAAACTGGAGTTATGATGAAGAGGGTAATATTATGCAGGGTAAAATAACTATCCAATTATATCCTCTCAAGAACACAAGCTTCATATTAAACTACTTATCTATTCAGTGAAATAATATAGCTTGAAAAAGGGAAAAGAAAATAAGATGTAATTTTTATTCTCAAATGACACAATACTGTGCAGTAGACAAGAGAGATGGTGCCATGAAGTGCAAAAAACCCATAAGACAGTTTTTTGGTTGAAAGAATCTCTCGAAGAGCATGCGCTTTGTGAGCTTCTAATGACTCAAAAGATCAATGTCCTCAAGATACATATTTCCCACCAGCAATCACAAACTAATACTTAAAAAAAAATAGAAGTGAATTTCATACCCTAATATTTACAATAAGAGCAGGCTGGTGCGTAGAGCCAGTCTGGGTGGGTGGATAAGTAGGTGTTAAACAAAAACAAAACAAAACAAAAAGAGAAAGACCAATCATTTTCATTCCTATTAGAAAAGGGAAATATAAGTAGTGGCAGAATCCCTAACACCTGAATGTCTTCTATTTTCTCTACTTCTATAGTAGAACCTAAACTTTCATAACTCTAAGCTCGAACATTGCTGATTCTCTAAGGCCTTTTTCCACAAAATCCTTATTACCCAGAAAAGGAGGTATACCAATCTTGCAGGAAAAGGGGATTTTGCACAAAAAGAAAACATCCACACTGCCTGTTTTGGCGCAAAAACGGATTGGTGGAAAATTTGCAAATTAGATCACAACTCATGCAAATGAATCTCTCATTAGCATATTTTTTGCCGAGAAAACTTGCAGTGTAGACATAGCCTAAGAGAACTATTCCTATACAATATGCTCAGAGAACCGTAACTCTGCTCATAGGGATACAACAAAGAATCTGTAGTACCAGAGACTCATTTCTCTCCATTACAGACATCTCTAGGTAATAATCCCTTGTTCAAAATGATGCTCCCACAGTCTGGGTCAGAAAGCCCAACACTTTATTTTACCCTGGAAAGTAGCTGAACCTCTGAGACCACTGCCAATATTCTATACCCATCCTTGGAACTTTTATACAAATCTTTATGTTTCCCTGATGTGGAAAAATAAGGGCAAGTAATTTCTGGACTTAGATAATGCCTTCATACTCCATTAAGCACAAAATTTTAACACTGTTGTAGTAGTTCAGGAAAGCTAAATTTAGCAGACACTTCACCCTACTATACGATTCATAAAGAGAAGATGGTAAGGTCAGAAACTTAACAAAATCAGGAGGATACTTTTTGTCACTAGAAACTTAAATACAAACCTGTGAAAGCTCATTGTACACAGAGAGTCTGTTGTGACCCATTCACTCCACTATAACAATATCCTGAGATCCACTACATATATGTTCTGTGAACAATGGCTGTAATCACCTCTACTAGCTAGCTCACAATGAGAAAATTAGAAAACAATCTAATGTCACCCTTCATGACAAGGTAGCTGTGCTTTTAGTCTTCCTTTTCATATGCTGCTGAGGGTACTAGCTGGTGTTGCCTTTGAATAATCATCCAACTGAAAGAATCCTCACAGCACTGATATATGAAAAGTGATCAGGACACATAGGTAAAGTCTGGTATTTTTTTTGTCTATTAAGAAAAATCTTTCTAGCAACATGAGCTAGGGACAGTCAACTCCTTTAATAATGAACAAGCTCACATCAAATCATTCATACAACTACTGAAAATTAGAAACATTTTTCAATATCAGATTTGGATGCAAACTTCTTCAAAGTACAAAGGCTTTTGGATCCATCTCTGGAAAAAACAGATGACATTCCTGGAATAATGTAAATGGCAAAGGTTACAAATGCCAATCTACAATATATGCTGTTGTGCTTAATCCCCTACATCAAAGTGTAACTTTTGTAACTGGTAAATCAGGAAATTTAAACACTGCTTACTCAATTTATAGTGCATTTCTAGTCTGAGAAGGGATTTTTAAAAACGGCACCTTCTTACTCCACAAGCCTGCTCCATATGCACGTTAAATCATAGCTACTGACTTCAATGACCAAAATAAAAATTTAATCTGAAACAAAGAATGCTTTACATGCCTTTAAGATGATTCTATTTTGGTTAAATTACAATTTTGTAAAATATTTGATCTCAAACTTCAGCTGAAATGGAATTTTATTGCAACAGTGCTTTTCAATTTTCAAATTGCTTTTCAAGTTTTAAGCAGATTAACATTTTTATCCAATGGCTGTTATAGAAGTATCATTAAATTCCAAACCTATAAAAATTAGGATCTTTAATAGGAATGCTGATATAGGACTATCAATACAAGATCAGGACAAATTACGCAAAAGAAGAAAGAGACCAGTTGCACAAAGGATGCAGACCCTACAAAAGTATTCCAACAGTTTTATAATGAGATGCATTTAAATATTTCTGCTGCATGCCTTTAAAAGAGATTTATTCTATTAGCAGACCTAATACAATGTTTGTTTTAGAAATAATCTCACCTGCAAAAAAACTCCCACAAGTCTAGATTTTGAATTCTCTGAATTCTTTTAATTCGGTTGCTATCCATTGTTTTCCCAAAGAGACTAGAAACTTCATTATATTCATTTGTTTGTTTTTGCAAAGGAATAAGCTGGAAAAAGAGAGGTTAGTATAGTTTCACTGAGGTCCATGTTCTTTCATCATTTGTATGTTCTATATCATAATAGATCTTACCTGATATGGCTCTTCAGGATTTACATTCTCCCAGTGTGAAGGCATTGGAATAGCCTCATTTTCACAGATATAACTTCAAACACAAAAACAGAAGTTAAAACAATCACGCCCAAAAGTTTATCTTCCTGCAATAGGATTCTTACTATGTACAGAATTTGTTACTAATGTATAATTTGACACAGCGCTTTGGATGCTGATCAAGGATTCAAACTGTGAACAGTTATTTTTAATTTGCAGGGAGAAGTAAGAGGTCTATTAGCCATACTTAATATTGGGTAGATCATTACAATTTGAAAACTATTATATAAATTGCAGTAAAAATAAACGCTTTTACTATGCAATCCACCCAAACAAAATTGCAGAATGTTGGACAGCAGGCTATACCACAAATAGTAACTCCAGCAATATCAAGGATAACTCTTATTTGACTCCTAAAGATAAAGGCATCTTCATTTATATTTAGGGGGTGCTTAAGTGGTCTGAAGTCAACAGGAGTGGAAAATGGTCAGGATCTCCAAACACCAACTCTTTTAAGTACCTAAACATGGATATAGATGCCTAAATGTAGGTAAACATGTTTTAAAATTATGGCCTGACTCTTATGATGATGTATCATTTTAACAGTTATGCCATATATGAAAATGTTAATACCAAGCCACAGAAACTAGAAAAATTAGGCAATGTAATGAAAATTAGAAATGATATAACAGCACAGAAAAAGAAAGGACCAGTATTACATATGGCATACCAAATTCAATTATACAATGACCTAAGAAATATAACATCTGCATCTCCTTTGGTATCATACTGTGAAGCTTTACTAACAGATATACTAGAACCATGTTCTACTACAGAATGTGAGCCAAAGACATACACACATAAGGGAAATGCTCCAAAGTTGCATATATACAGTCGCTGACTGAATTATACTGATTAAAGAATATAAGAACTGTAAACAGCTGAACTATTAAAAATAGAAGCTTTTCTGGAATTTCAGTGTACAAACACTGTGTTTATATTACAGTTCCTAATGCTGGACAACTTCTGCCGGACAGTGAAATTGGATTGAAATTTTGAGCTTTAAAGTTCTAAAAAAGCATTTGAAAACCCTACAATCTAGCTGGTCACAACCAAGGAAACAGCAATGCAAAGAGTATGTTATTTTATTTATTGAACAACCTCAAACACCAACACATCTCCACAGTTTATGGTTAATGACTGGTCAAAATGCAAGACGACAAATGTTCAGAACTCAAGGTGACTGCACTCCTAGGACCAAAATCACCTTTGTATTCTGATTTGATAGTGATTTATGTCCACATTGGTATAAATTACTAACTACAAAAGGTGCAGGTCAAGAGTTAAATCTACCCCTTAGTCTGGGTTGATTTATACAAATAATTTAATATATAATTTTAAAATCAGTTAAAATAGAAAATTAAAAATAATGACCAAACTCCTCTCTCAGGCCATGGCTGTTATTTCATGCTTCTCTAGTATTAAACTCTGATTCAGCAAGGTACTTAAGTACGTCAAGAGGATTACTCACATGCTTGAAGTTGGACATGTGTTTAAGAACCTTGTGGAAACATGGCCTTACTGTTTAATATATTTGGCAAATTATTCTTTTTTCCCAGGTTACTTAATTTCTCTAAAAGGCAATGTTTTTTTGTTATTCTTCCTCTCCCAGATTTCCTCCTCCTTCGCTTTCTTTCTGTAATCTGCCTCCTCAAATTTAATTTGAGAGGGATAAAATATAATGAAGAAATATTTAAATGTTTCTGGCTCATCTTACTAGAGGAATGAAAACAACAATGAACCATCTTTAGTTCTCACCTGAAAGCACTGATAGAAAACGGAGCTCTCTTTATTGGACGCTGTTTTCCAGTGGTTAGATTAGTCTGTTTCATCGCTGTATATAAAATGAAAATTAAATGAGTTCCAGAAACATTCAATCTACAGAAATGAAAAGTGTTTAGACATCACAAATTTCCCAGAAAATGACATTTTTATAGTTACCTGATAGGAATTACTGTCTTGTATGTTAACTAGTTAAGATTTAAGAGCAATATTTCAAAACATTATTCTCCAATACTACTAATACTAGAATGCTCAAACATTAGCATATTCCCATATACCATGGGAATTAATATTAAGAAAATATTTAAGACAGACAATGCATATGCACTAGTGGTGAAATCCAGACACATTCAACACAATAGCAACACTCACACTGATTTAATAAGGCCAGGATTATACTCTGGACTTCTACATCTAAATTCTCATTCTAATGCAGTGAAGAAACTAACACCTTTGTACCACATTTAAATATAAATGTTACACTACATTCATACTATGGTGAAAATTATGTTATGGTTAACAAGATTCCTTTAGCATTTTAAATCAAAGATTCAAGATTTTAAAAGTTTACAAAAATCTACTTTTTAAAAGTAGTCTCTAAACAAGCTATTACAAAAATTATTTAAACAAATATTGCCTGAATGTACATATTGTTATAACACTCCATCACTACAAAACTATAGGCTGCTACCTGCAAAATTGAACACCTACATCACCTGAGCATAATGACAGGTCTTTGACCATTTTAATCTCAAAAAACAGATGAAAGTGTAAGTGCAATATTTGAAATATTTTAGAATGAGAAGCTACTACATCAGAGCTTTCTTCACAAATAAATGTATTTAAAATTAACTACATAGTAACTATGCTGGAAACCAATAGTAACCTGTGATAAAGAGTACATACAATATAGACATAAGAGAGCTTTACCTAAAGCAGGAGTAGGCAATAATTTTTGATGGGGGAGGGGAACTCCAAGAATTTGGTACGTGGTCAAGAGACGTATTCGTCCATGATATTAATGGAGGTGGTGAGGTTAAATGCAGAAGAGAGCTTGGGATAGGGGAATGGAGTATAGGAAATTGTCTGGGATGGAGTCTGGGTGAAGGAGGGGAACTGTGACCTGGACTAGGGAAATGGGATACATAAGGGGGTACCAAATCTAAGAAAGAGGTATGGGTATGAGTGCAGGAGAGGATTCTGACCTGAAGGAGGAGCATAGGAGGGGGTGCAAGGCCTGGGAGGTGGTTGTGACCTGAGGCAGAGGTGCAGGGAATTTGGGTTATGTGGGGGTAGAGGTATAGAAGAGGGACTGGGGTGCCAGAAACAGACACTAGTTAGAAAATGCATATCCAGGTGTCTCCCAGCCAGCAGGCCACTCAGGCAGACTCCTTGCCTTCTATGGCATTCAGAACAGCAGATGGCAGATAGCTCTGAGTGGCTGTTTTCCAGCCAACGAGAGTGGCAAGATTGGGCTGACGGTGGGGGCAATACATGACACCTCCCTCCTGCCACCGGCTCATGGCCACTCAGAGAAACACATGATCCCCCACAGCTGGCTGCTCTGAGTAGTGGGCAGGGATGGGGCAGGTAGTAAACCTGTTCGAGGCTCCCAACGGACCACAGAATGTTGGCAGGCTGGATCTGGCCCAGAAGCCTTGTTTTGCTTCCCCTGATCTAAAATAATTTTCAGATATATTCTTCAGAGCATCCGATATAATTTAACAGAGTTAGGAGTTAAAGTATCTCCCAGCTGAATTATATAATCACTTTATCAACATAACTTGTACGGAGTTTGTGCAGAAGACAGAAAATTGTTTTCTGCAACATTTGCTGCTTGGATATTCTGAAGTTAAACTGTTGGCATTTTAATTTTTCTGAGCATATGGCACAGAACCACTCATATCTCATATGAGAGGCGACAGGACAAACACCAGCATTACTGAACAGGGTATGCCACTTAAAACAAAGCTAGAAGGCTGAACCATTTAACATTTTATGTAGTTAGTTAGATGTACATTCATATAAAGAAGGCTGTCCTAATCATGCTTTTTTAGCACTACAATACCAGAGCTGGATGAGGCCAACAGCATGCAATATGTACTAGTCAATTCTTGTCAAGAGAAGCCGACAAATATATAAATACTTCATTGTTAGAAAAAAAACATACCTGGAAAGTCTAACTTGTAGTTAAATTTTGCAGTAGTAAAAGAAACAGAGCCTTCTGGGTTAATTTTGAAGCTCCTTTCAATGTCTTCACTGCTAACTGAACACTGAGTGTTTGAATCAGTCTTCAAAACAAACCAGAAAAGACATTTTAAATGTTTAAATACAGTATATTTGACAATGTGGAAATTATCATAGATAAAATAATTCTCTGTTTATATACCTGAAACATATGCCATTTGCCACATTCAGCCAAGTAAAACCAACCCCACTGGGTATCAGATGTATCCATCTCCTCCTCAGGAATCTCCATCTTTGAAGATAATTCTTCTGGTGGTCTTTGAAGCATTTCCTGAAATATCAAAAAAATCTCATGTGAAAATCCACTATTTCTTTAAATCTGTTTTTTCAGAAACCCCAGTCTGTCTTTATTAAATTAACACACAACTGAAAAAGAAAACTGTTTATTAAATGTTACTGTATAGGGCAAGAAAGACAGGTACAATATCCTTAGACATTTCTTCACTCTACTATCTGTCTAGCTTAAAAAATACTGCTCCATAAACAGGCTTAAACCCCTCTCTTCCATGTCTTTCTTAAATTCCTGAAAGAAAAAAAAAAAACACAGGCCTTAAGAATGTCCTGAAAGTCAACAGACTCAAGCTGTGTGCAACCAAGGAGAGAGAGAAAGTGAGTCCTGGAGTTGAAGCCCTACCTGCAACCCGATTCCAGTTATGTTTGGCTATTGCTAGCTCCACAAGTCTCACTTGCTATAATGCCACAAAAGAAGGAACATTTCTTCAGTAATCCCAGCCATTTAGGATCTTTCAATTAAAAACCGATACCTTACATTTCACTAGGCAACAGACAGAATCCAACACAGATTTAACACATCAACTGTAAAAAAATACTGTTGAACAAGGAACTGGATGAATAAATACCCAATTAAAAAAAAAAAGATTTTTCAAAACTTAAATCTATATTTTTGCTTAAATTAAATACTGATTTTTTAAAATAAACCTATTTAAATCTGCAATTATGACAACCTCCGTTAAGGCATAAAGCTTAAATTTGCTACAATCTACTAAAATAATTTAAATTACATAAAAATATTAAGAAGCACACATTAGCTCTCACATGTTCAAGCAAGTCATACTACTGTACTAGTTGAGCTTGCTACCTAAGTACCGGAAATCAGAGTCCGTTGAAGTGCTAAATCAGCTTTTGACAGAAGTGCGCTCTTCTGCAGGTACAAGGGAAATATGTTCTTTCCATTTAGTCAACTAATTCAGTTCAACGATTAGTTCATTCACAGTTAAGGAGCCAACGGAAAGCTGAGTTTCAAATCAGGAAAGCTTAGTTTCCCCACCTCCATTCCCCTACTCTCTGAATAAAAATGTGTAAGAGAGAATGAGATCTATTCGTTCTAAAATCCTGAAGGACATGGTGACCAGAAATAATCTGATCAATCCACTAATGACAGCAATACAGTCTTTTTTTATTTTTAAATGCAAAATATGTTTTGAAGAACTTTTTTTCTTTATCTGTCCAGCAAATTAAGGCTGTTTTATTTAACTTATAATCTGTAAATGCTGCTTTTGTGCAATTTTAATTGACTCAGTTTACATTCAAATAAAGCTTTTACAAATTAAAATAAATCAAGTAGTAAATGAGAAATATATCCATTACTATTTTCTAACAAAAAAATAAATAATCTGAATAATGTAAATTAAGCTATATAAATTGCACTATATAAATTGACGCTATGCTCGTCAACTCCCCTCTCTGTGGGGATACGTAGCCCTGGCTCTCCCCCACCCCAGCTGCCGGGAAGGGCAGGGTCGAGACCGTGACAGCCCTGGCTTGGGCTCTGACCACCCAGCCACCAGGGAATGCCAGGCTGGAAGTGGGTGGGGCTTGGCTTCTGTGGACAAAGATGATGTGATGACATCATTATGTTGTCCTATAAGAAGTTTTATATATAACTAAAAAGTATAAATACAAGATTAAAATTGTTTATTTAAATGAAGGTTGCTGACAATGATTTAAATCAATACACACAGTCAAGCAAGCTGAAGATTTTGAATAGTCTCCAAAATGTAGTCCCACAAAGAGGTCGGTTAACGTAATCTAATTTTGAGGCACAGATAATCACACCAGAGTCCAAAGAAAAGGTCAGAATCTTCTAGCCAAACACTCACACACAAATACTGCTTCTGGCCATTGCTGCTACTTAGACACACAAAAGCAGATGGGGTTTGTCACTTTATTGGATTTTAAGGGGAGCAGCCAGATCACTGCTGCACACATGGGAGGGGGTTGCCCCAAAGTCTATACAAAGGGGGCCATGTGAGGTGTCAAATGAAAGCTTATGTTTTACTGATTCTATGTATGCTATTCATGTACTTGTGTGATGTTTATATATGGAGTTATGAATATGGACTGTGTGCTGGTATTGTGAATGTTCTCTGTCTGAGACAGAGCAATGGGCCTGGGTTGCTTGTTGTAAAGGATTGTTCAGTCAATGACTATGAAAATTAGCAGGGCCCCAAAAACAATGGCTCTCAAGGTGGCCAATATACACATGAGGAATGTATCTGGAAACCTGCAAACCAGTCAGTATCTTATGGCTGCTGGCATGGAACACAGGGATAGGTCACTTGACCTCCAGCTTGGAAGGTACCAAGAATGGATATAAAATGCCATGAGGCAGACCCCATTTTGTCTTCCATTCTGATACTGAACCTAGATGCAGCCCTGTGAGGAACAGAGAGCCAGGAAGGATTGTCGACCCATCCTGATATAGGACGTACACCAGAGATTTTTAAGATAGCAGTTTGTAACATCTCTGCTACAAGCCTGCATCAAGAACTTGGTGATTGGTGCATGTAATGTAGTCTCCTTAATAACCTTACTCTCAATCTTCTCTTTCTTTTGTTAATAAACCTTTAGATTCTAAAGCAGGGGTGACCAACCCATTCTGGACAAAGAGCCAAGATATTAGTGGATCCAACGTGAAGAGCCAAGGCAAAGTTGTAGAGGGAGAAAGAGGGGGAAGGAAGCCACCAAAAGTTGTAGAGGGGGGAAAAAAAAGGCCTGCGAGAAGCACATTTCTATGCTTTTTGGACTCAGCAGGCTCACACCATATTGGAAGCACTAGATGGCTCCCCTGCCCCAGTGAGCACAGGAGAGCTAGGAGGCGTGTGCCACTCTCAAGGGCATGGGGGCAGCTTTGCGAGCCACAGGGGCAGCTTCGTGAGCCGCACTGACACGGCGGGAGAGTGGAAGAGCCGCATGAGGCTCCGAGCCACGAGTGAGCCACAGCTATTCTAAAGGATTGGCCCAGCATGCTCTTGTGGGTAAGATCTAAAGTGTAAATTGACCAGGGAGCTGTGGCTGGTTCTTTGGGTCCGGGAGAACCTGTTCCGGGTGGGTGAGATTGGGTTCTATAACCCCTCACCTGTGTGTAAGGCCCAGGGCTGACTGTGGCACAGGGAGAGCTGGTGTGTCTGAGGGGTTTTGCTCCTGAGGCTTCCTGCTGGCCAGATTGGCAGCTGAAGCACTCGGTGTGACTGGTTTGTGGCCTGTTTGGGAAAAGTCTCCAGACAGGGGCTGTAAGCCCTGGTTTTGAGCAATTCGCCCTGAGCAGACACCATGAGAGGTGCCCCAACCCGGCTCAGTCTGTCACAGGGTTCTATCCACTCCCCCAAACCTGTTACTATTTTCTAACAAAAAAATAAATAATCTGAATAATGTAAATTAAGCTATATAAATTGCACTATATAAATTGACGCTATGTTCGTCAACTCCCCACATTCTCACTGAGGGAGATGTAATCATCTGATTATTCTTCCAACTGTTTTTACCATCCAACAAGCATTTCCTTGGTCTCGTCTGAGGTTAAGGTTGAATTCCAACTTTCATTTAATAGCCTCTTTTAAAAAGTATTTTTTAAAATCTATAATCGGGAAGAGGGGAGACCCGAAGGAAGGAAGATGGAGCAAACATAAAACAAGCTTTTTTTTTTTAATTCTATTAAGGCAGGAGGAGAGGGAGAACAGAACATGTTTTGTCTGTATAGGTCTATCAGAAATGCTGTGCTTGAATAACTCAAAAATTGATGAAGCTAGACATGGCAAATTTGGACGGGTTTGTATCACAGATCTCATTAGATCAAGTTGAAAGAAAATGAATTCAGTACTCTTGAACTTAGGTATGTTTATGCTTAGCAATATTATATATATTTGAAATTTTCTGTTTTGTTTGTAAACATTCGAAAAACACCTTAGTCTGCTAGGTATGTCAGTAAAATGTGCAAGTCTCCAATCAACACTACTTACATTGTTAGGGAATTTGGAGACAAGAACATACAGACCTCATTTCTTCCTCTGCAACAGCATCAGAGCTTCATCTCCAGCATAACAGAAGTGGCATTCTAATCATTAAGTGTACTTACAGAGAGATGTCAGTATACTTTAAAAGAGTTAGCATAGAAAAAGAATAAACAGTCACAGAAATTGACAACTTATTTATTCTACATCAACAAACCAAGATTGAAAGACTGAAGCCCCAACCACTGACAGAGCATTCATCCTACTTTGCAGAAATCATCAAACAAACGTGAGAAGACTTGCTAAGGCTGAAAATCTGGAATTGAACCATACAACATTAACTGTCACACCGTCCCCAGCAGAGTCCTTCACACACACACCAACATGGTTGCAAGCCCTTACAAACATTTAGCTCTCTGCATGCAAAAGTGATATATACCAGATCTTGGCTTGCGAAAGGTAGTGAAAAGAAACTTAAAATTTATAAATGGATATTATAAATGCAGGTATCCCATTGTCCTTGAAAAATGTAATAGCCTACCCAGTATTCAAAAAGAACATACTCAGTTCAAATTACCTTCCCAACCTCTTATTCCTACGCAAAAATATTTAAATACTAATGACAACAAAACTCCAAAATTACATGTCAATGGTTAACATCAAGGATGCCTCGCAATCAACTCTGAGATTACAGCAGACATAAAACCCCAAACCTTTGCATTGCAATGGAAGGCTACAATTCAAAGACTCAATAGCTTCCAACACTGTTGACCATAAAGTGCTCCTACCCTGGGCATATACCTGGAGTAGGTGGCAATGGCTCCAACCTCTTCTTGAGGACCCTCAGAGAGCATCTCAATGAATCCATCTTTCCCCATCCCCTTCAACATAGACACAAAGCCCCTGGACAACTGGAAAGATGACATAGGCTCAGCTACTAACTAGTGACGTTACACATAATTTAACAAACAAAATGGCAAATGAAATTTAATGCTGATAAATGTAAAGGAATGCACATCGGAAAAATAATTCCAACTATACATACAATATAATGGGGACTAATTTACCTACAACTACTCAAGAGAGATCTTGGAGTCATTGCAAATCGTTCTCTGCAATCATCCACTCAGGGTGCAGCGGCAGTCAAAAAAAGCAAATAGAATGTTAGGAATCATTAAAAAAGGGATAGAGAATAAGACCTTTGAGAAAGGGGGGGGGGGAGATTAGGAAGGTAAGTGTCTGTGAATTGCTGATATTAAAGGTAGGGAGAGTGGGATGTTTGTGAGTTAATGGTATTACAGGTGATAATTGGGGAAACTGTCTTGGTAATGGGTGAGAAAGTTCAAAGACTTGTTAAGTCCTCGTTGGTAAGTGTCGAATTTTAACATGAATGACAGTTCAGAGGATTCCCTTTCAAGTGCAGATGTAAAAGGTCTTTGTAGCAGAATGCAGGTGGCTAAGTCATTTAGAGAGTGTCCTTTCTGGTTAAAGTGGCAAGAAACTGTTTTCTCTTTGTGATCTTGTCTAATATCTGTTTTGTGGGCATTAATCCTTTGGCGAAGTGTCTGAGATGTTTGTCCAATGTACATAGCAGACGGACACTTTCGGCACACGATAGCATAGATTATATTTCTGGATGCGCAGGAATATGTGTTCTTGATCTTATAACTCACTTGGTTAGGTCCAATAATGGTATCAGCAGAATGAATATGTGGACAAAGCTGGCAACGGGGTTTGTTGCAAGGGAAGGTACCAGGGTTGGTATTAGTGTGGTATGTCCTGTGGTGGTTGGTAAGAATCATCTTGAGGTTAGGTGGTTGTCTATAGGAGACTATGGGTCTGTCTCCCAGAGCCTCTTTGAGTATGGTATCCTGTTCCAATATAGGCTGTAGTTTATTGATAATGTGTTGGACAGGTTTAAGTTGGGGGTTGTAGGTGATGACAAGTGGTGTTCTATTGTTGGTTTTCTTGGGTCTGTCTTGAAGTAGATGGTTTCTAGCAGCAGGTTAAAACAAGCAAAAAGAAGTTTAATTCATTCAGCATACAGTCAACCTGTGGAACTCCTTGACAGATGATGTGGTGAAGACTAGGACTTTACCAGGGTTCAAAAAAGAACTAGATAAATTCATGGAGGTTAGGTCCATCAATGACTATTAGCCAGGATGGGTTGGAATGGTGTCCCTAGCCTCTGTTTGTCTGGAAATGGATGACAGGAGAGGGATAATGTGAAATTACCTATTGTGTGTTCACTCCCTCTGAGGCATTTGGTACTGGCCACTGTGGAGAGACAGGATACTGGGCTAGATGGACATTTGGTCTGACTCAGTATGGCCGTTCTTATGTTCTCAACTAATCGACCAGTGAATGGAAAATCCGTTGATTAGTCGATAAGTAGGGGAGCCGCAGAGGGGTTAGCTCCTGGTCCCGGAAACTAACCCTACTGCAGCTCTGCCTTTTAAATATGTTAAGAGCCAGAGGTCCTTAATACATTAAAAAGGATAAAGCAAAGGAGAGGGACCTGGCACGAGCTGGGAATCAGCTGGCCCAGCTCACGTTGGGTCCCCCCACTGCACACCACAGCCCCACAGCCTTTTCCCAACTAGCGCCTGCTCCCCTCTACTCCCCTGCCCTGTGTGGAGACAATGCTGGTTGGGGGGGGATGGACCAGATTTTAAGTAGGCTCTCCCCAGCACCAACAACTGCTCTGCTGCTTGTTGCCTCTGCAAGGGAGCAGAAGCAACTAGTCAAGGATCTAATCAACTCTCCAATAAGCTGTTGCTTATTGGATTGTCGACTAGTCGCTTACATCCCTACCACCAACAGTACACCAATGAACCCCAGTTGCATCTCTCATATTCTACAATATATCCAGTACCATCACAAGCAGGTCACAATTCTTGCAAGTATAACTGACTCAGAGCAAAATGAAGAAATACTGCAGGGCTGGAGGATCCAACCTCAAAATAAGGCAAAGCCGAGTCCACGTTCGAGTCAAGCTGAGAGCCAGGGTTCACGTCCTCCTGCTTTGAAGCATAGATACAGCCTTGCTTGTCTTAGGTCCTGGGAGTTATCCAAAAGTATTCCATAATTCCAGTGGATAACTTCTTTAGTCTTTTCTATCCCAGCAATCTGCAATCCACTCTACTGAAAACGGAAGCCACAACCCCACTGCAAACTACAGCAACTCAAGTCTATATTAACCCATTTTGATCATTGATTTGAAAGTACTCGATCAGCCTCCTCAGTTTGCAATGGAGAGCAACCCAATCAACCCTTTTGCAAAGTGAGCTGCTTCTTCATAATGTTCAGGGAAGGCAGTAATGTTTTCCCTCAGCATATCCTGGTCCTACAGCTAGAGCAGCCTCGTTTCAGGGATGTGGCATTAAGGACTGTGCAATATGGTTACTTTGACTCTGGCTTGTGCACTGCAATATAGATGGCACCTAGGCTCAAGCATGTGTCAGAAAATTCTTAATCAGGGTTAAAAAGAGCATCTAGGCTCAAGCATGGGTCAGAAAATTCTTAATCAGGGTTAAAATACAATGTAGGTGCTCAAATCCAGGGTGCCCTAATACAGGTCAGGTGATTCAAGTTCCACTAACCCTGGAATTAAATTGCACTGTTGACATCCATAGGAGACATCTCCAAAGTCCTCTCATTTATCAACATAGTATGAAATCTCAGATCCTGTATGATTCATCATTGATGTTAAATCACGAAGTAACATTGGCAGTAAAGACAAGTTTTCTCTGACTTTCAATTTGCTGCTTGGTCCCTGAAAATGATTTGATCACAATGGTATGCATCTGTAGAGTCCTGTGCGGATACAAAATCTGTATCTGCATACGTAGCCGCAAAAATGCAAATCTGCAGGGTTCTGAATACAAAGTTTATACCTGAATCTGCCAAAATGAGTCATGGATATCTGCACTTATATCTACAAATATAAAGCAGATATCTGTGGATTTGCAGTGTTCTATGCATTTGTTACTTACAGACTGGACTCCTATAATATCCTTTATTTTGGAGCTAACTTGAAAAGAGTGCATTCTCCCAAGTTCTTTACAATGTCCACCTCCTCACTGGGCTGGACATCTGTGGGTACATCTCTTCTGTCCTCCAAGCACATTTCCAGTTTCAGTTCGAGGCCTTAATGCTCCACATTATTGGACTAGAAATCCACAATTTTGAACCTGTCTTCATCCATGCTTCATCCATGCTGCATACTTCTGGGACAACGCTGATCACAAAACAAACTGAAAAATAAAGGACTCTTATCTAACAGGAGAGTTACACAAAAACTTCCAAAAGGAATTCACACTAACCTAGAGCATAATCATCTAGATCTGCTTCTTTGTGAAAGCTTTCCCATCCAAATCTATATAACCAAATCAACAGTCCATCCGTTTCTAGTCATCACGTGGCAGAGATTGTCTTTTTGGTTTGTATTTGTACATCACCAAGAAGAATGAGGCTCCATGTCTGGGGTTCTGGGCAGCTAATGAAATACAAATAAATAATAGGAGTAGTCTGATCTTTCCTTAGTGAATGCGTTACATGGGAAGAAGCCTGCTATGAAGAAAGTGTGGGAGAGCATAGGTGAGGCAGGGTTTCTCAAATGTCTGTAGAAGTAGTTTTGAATTAAGGTGGGGTTTTTGGTCAGTGTTTGGGGATATGTATGGCAGGTGAGCTCAAGTCAGAAGATTTTAAAAATCCTTAAGATATCCCCCCAAAATACATGTCTAAAAAACTAAAAGGTTTTAAAAAGCAAAAAAGATTTAAATACACTACAAGCAAGAAGTCTGCCAAACAATCAGGTGGGCCACTGAAAGAAAGAAGTGCTAAAGAGGCATTCAAGAATCAAGACAACCCAGAGACAGAATTTTCCATTGGTCATCACTGCAGAGGATGAGAAATTCCCACATCTGAGCCATTCTTTTTAGGTGACAAATCTGAGGAACTATCCCATATTGGGGTGTCAAAAGTAGTAGTTTTGGAACAAACTGATACATGTAACAGTAATAGGTCACCAGGAGCAGATGGTATTCACGCAACAGATCTGAAGGAACTCTCATGAAATAGTGGTATGTTTCTATCACTTATATCCTCTGTCTTAAAAAGTTTAAGAAACACTGCTGTATAGCCTAACTTAAGTACCAAACAAATTCATGTAAACTATAATAATCTATTTAGCATTCTTTAAGGGGTGATTTAGTCAAAAAGAGCCAACAATGTTGGAAATCCCTACAGAGCTGCTTCCCCACCCCATGCTGCTTCCTCTCATACAGAGGCAGCAGTGCAGGCAGGCAAATGGGAGTCAGAAGATGCAAAGAGCACAGCTTCCCCTGCATACTGGCTCCCACAAAACCACCTGCCCCTCCTCCTTCCTGCTGGGAGTAGGTGGGAACTGGTGCTTGCAGGGAGCAGTTTAAAAGCCAGCTCCCCATGAGCACCAGCACCCCCATTACCTCAGATACAGAGGCAGCAGCAGGAGATTGGGGAAAACATGGCTCCAGGGGAGTCAGTAAAAGCTGTCTCCTAGCATGCCAGCCCCCAATCCTGAATCCTGAGCTCCCTTGTCCTAAGTGGGCCCTGTGCAATGCTGGAGTAGCCCCCTGCCCATAGCAGACAGAGAGCTGCCCCCATCTCCACAAGTCACAAATTAACCAGAACCAGTCAGCATTACCCATCTAGAGGGCTTCACCAAGTAACCAGTTAACCTTTCCCAACACTACTGAGGGCCGAATATATAACATGGATTAAAAAAAAAAGAACCAAATACAGGCCAGGCCCATCAACAGCTGCTAGCCAAGATCAGGGCCACAACCCCATACACTGGGGCCCTAAGTGTCAGGGGCCCGCACCTGGGAGTGGCGACAAGCAGCAGCTCAGGCCACCATGGCCCAGGCCCAGGCCGGCTGCCGGGCTACGGGAGCCCCCGGCCTGACCCAGCCTGACCC